TATCTGAGACTACCAAATTTTGCTGTGATATGTACCAGGTGTGTTTGTGACATAATAAAGTTATGTGAAGGTTTCATGTCACCTGACGTGTTTTTCAAGGTAGATAATGTCTATACTATCACTGTTTCAAACCTAGGTGAAAGTACTGTAGTAGCAACGATAGTAAACAGTTTACCTGTGGGTTTGACGTCGAATTTCAGAAAAAAAATGAATTACTGGTATCTCCAGCATTACTGCTTTATCTTGACACAAATACTCATTTAATTATGTACATAAAATATAAATAAAAGATATGTTTTATAATTCCCTATAAAATCGTAAAACAAATTAGAAAATTTAAATTTTAGTGACTAATTGAATCATCACTAAATATCTTTGCTGGAAGAAATCTATAACACGGTAGTCAAAAAAAACGACTTCACTATCTGTTCGTTGATATTTATATCCCATCTAAATCAATTCTAATGTACAGATGAATATTTAAAGTGCATCAGTTAGTTTTGCTATCAGGTGGATTGATAACTTGGTTTAGTTCTTTCAGGCACTTACGGTTTGCTGTTGTGTAGTGAAGCTTGGATGGGATTCGATAGAAAATTATAAAAGTCAAGCCCCTGAGTAATATCTAGTAATTGGTGTAGATCAAAGGTCAAGGTTAGAGCTTCCTGCTTTCGCCCATTGTTCTACACTGAATCATGAGTTGTGGTAGCCAAATATACCTGAGAATTTCCGGTTTTAGTTTCTTTTGAACTTATCAAAGATGATTTTACTATAAGATCTGAATATCAAGTGATCATTCCCTAAAAAGGTTCACTGTTTAAATGCGTCACGATTTTGAACTAATATCAGATCACTACCTAGTGATATATTTCCGATGGCTTTCCAAGTGAATTCGTTGAAGAATAGAACTTATTTTCAAGATAATCTTTTTTTAAGAACTTTTGTTTACTATAATGACAGTTTTAAGTTATATTTTCTTATATATATTGTTTTATGTTTCAGGCGAAAATAAAATCATCTGCACACACTAATGGGATCTCCATATTTAGATTGGCAATGTCTAGCATGTAAGTAGATTTTTTGCACTTTCTACCTATATTTATGTATATACATATACAGACATTGCGTGCACACAAACATTTTTCCACATTACAGTTTATAAGATAGGAACAGGTTTTTGCCCATATGCATTACATACTAACAAAATGTAGTTGAACTTTTGTTAACTAGATTAATAATCATCCAATCTTATCAGAATATAGAACATATTTTAGGATGGATTCATTTGTGGGGGACAAACTAAGTGTATTAGAGAGGGGACATTCGAATGTCCTAACAATCCCATTAGTAATAATTATTCGGAAAACCATCATTATGATAAACCTTATGATAGAAATACTGACTAATATTATTTTAGGGTTATTATTGATAATAATGTTAATAGGTGAAATTAATAATTGAAATATTCGAGTGAAGAGAAGGAACTTGTCTGTTTCCCTACCTATCCTGTGCCTGATTTGTTTTAATTTCACTACCTATCATAATTTAGTTTATTAGTCTGTAAAAATAAAAGAAGCTGAAAAAGGATAATAAAACTTATATCAGTGATATTGGGACATAAATTATAATTTCAAGTGAGTGTAAGATTTTTTTTCGTCATGTACATTTTGTAAGACCTCCTCTTTTTCTTTTACAAAATATGATTGAGATATAAAAGTGTACTTAATCCGTAGAATGTGATCTTCAGTAATTTCATTTGGATTCTTATCATTCTTCATACTTCCATGACTACTTATTAAAAAAAAATCTATGAAAACCACAATGAAATGGTTAACTACTCTGTTAATGAAACTGATTGAAGTCGACAATAGATAAGCTCTAAAAAATACGATACAAATATTAATTATTTATTCAGACTGATGAATCTTAAGATATTCTTGTTAAAACAATGAAATTCAAAAATGATTTTAGATTTGTGCCGTAAACTAATTGCTTGTCTCTGTACGATTATTCTAACTATATTTAACATTTATATGCGAATCAATGAAGATTTATTTTAACAAATCTCCATGAAATACTCAAGGAATTAATCATCTCGTAATTAATATTAAATATTTTTGAGATGGGTTTCACAAAGTGAAGTAATTACCAACTATATAATATTGGATGACAGTCGTGTGATATCACAAGTTGACCGATGTTCGAAGATGTATGTTACTGAATTTCGAACTAATAAGTGCATACATAGTATCATGTTTACTACGAAACAAGGTTCAATATTGAACAAGGATCAAGTATCCATCTACTTCTCCCTGGTTTACAGTAATTCTGTGATGGAATCTTTTTATGGTTTAAGCACTTCTCTCAGGTACTATTTCCTACTGTTGCATTATATCTCATTCAGTGTGATTTAATTTTGCTAGTGGGTACATAAAGACGGTAAATATTACACAGTGTATGTACACAGAGATTCAATACTTGAATCATGTTTATACAAAATTTCATAGTTCAGGCAAATCAGTCGTTCTAAGTTAACAGTGTATCTTCATGAAGCTAAGATCAAAAAATGAGTAAGTATTAATTAAAAATTTTATTTCAATCCAGTATGTGGCTTTTCTTTTAATAATATGAATATAATTAACATTATCAAATCAACTGCAGAACGAAAATTATACTTACAAATTTTAAGAATATCAAAAATTCCCATTGTGAAAATTGGAACAACACAATATTGTTTTCGATTAGATCGTCATCAGGCTTTACTTTAATATACATGAATATTTATATGAAAATGTTAAACCAATCAAGGCAAAATTTTCATATAAATATTCATGTACATTTGAGTAAAAGCTTGATGTCAATCTAATCGGAAACAATATTGTTCGCTTATATGTGTTGTTCTAATTATAAATTTTACACTGAATAGGTAACCTGCTATTAGCTCATATTAGGATTTACTCAGTAGTTCTGATTGAATCTTTGAGTCAATTATCTTGACGGTCGACAAGCCTAACTTGTTAGATATATTCAGGTTATCACTAGATACAGATTATACCTTTGTAGATTAGTAATAACGTATTCATGAACGCTGCTAGTTTGCTCATGGGATTTGTTGCAACCCATGTAATATCACTTAGTGATATTTGGGTATAAGTTTGAACAAAATGGCTCAAAGTTAGTGAAGGTATAATCTATTTGTGAATACTACTACTTTACTTACAGAATGAGTAGACTGATATCCTTATAACATAAATTATTATAAGAGTAAATTAAAAGTTCTATGACCAGAAATCAAAATGTAGTAACTGAAAGAAATTTTTCAGATAAGTAGTAAAAAGACTAGAAATTTCCAGTAAAGTTTAAACACTTTTTTCAGTGTCTAATAGAAGCACCATAACACTGGACATGTTTCCTACACCTTTCCTAGGATTTAGAATCACTTCACAACTGCAATTTATCTCAAAAGTTTGACAAAACAAATGTAATGTTTACTCAACACATTTGTAACTCGTTTTTATCAGTAGATATTGGTAAGCACTGAGTTCCTGCATAAAATAAGCACAACATCTCTTTTAAAGGAATTTGTTGTTAGTTGAGCTTCAGTACAAATCCAATGTCTGTAATGAATATCTTATTCAAAGATGAATGTGCTCAAATCGATAATCGACCAGATCACAATGAACCATAGTTAAGAAAATACAATGTGTGCCAAAAGGAACCATGTAGCTTACAAGGATGGTATATCGATTCCGTAATTAGATCACAATGAATTGGAAGTTGGAGAAAATGTAAAGGTCAAAAATGAAAACTTGACATTTGAAAGATAAAGAGATTGCAGGGATTAAGTGTTAGTAATCATGCGTTAGAAATTTAGTGTGCTGATATTCCGAAAAATGGTTTTTTAAGCTAGTCATTAATGATTCTTTATCTCATTAAAATAATACGAAAATAAAATTTTGAAGTCAACTGAACCATGAGAAATTACTTGTAAACTAAATATTTAATTGTTTGCAGTTCTATAAGTAAGTGTATTATTTGATTTCTTAACTGATGGAAAATTTTGTTCTTTCACGTTGTATCGTATTTATACTTTCGTTCTGTATATTTTTATCTTCACATGATTGTTGCATGGTGTTTTACTTCAATATCCTGTTTGGTCATTGACAACAATCTTTTCACATTATCAACAGTATGTCATCAAACATTATTTTCAAAGGCTTTGTATAAGACAAACTACACTTCCTGTATTCAACCGCTTGCTATAGTCTAAGCAGAATAAATAATTTTAATGACAAAACACAGTATTGATGCCTCCGCTTAGGATTCACATATTCTACGATATAGAAATGAGAACGTTTACAAATGCAAAACTTGATCACAAAATCATGGAATTCATACGAACTGTTTTTTTAAGTAATTGATTAGCTCAAGTAAACTAAGTACTTTTCTAAAAACGCCAATGAGAAGTTTAAGTGTTTTCTAACTTTGAAAAATAATTCTTAGAATCCTATGAACTGGTTTTAATTCACCTATGTCAAAGACCATTTTATCGTAAATCGTTAAATTGTTCAGGTCAGGCTTAGTTATAATACTTGTTAGTCTACGTTTTTTGAGCTTAATTCACAAACTGAAAGATCCAGTTTCTATCCTTACTAAAACTAAAAATTAGGTTCCTTTGTTCAGTGTGATGATCATTTTTACCTACACTGAATCAGTCTGACTGACTTGACGTTTGTTTGTGCAACAATCATAGTTACTGCTCATATCTAAACTGATATGAATATTACATTGGAAATTACTGGATCTTTATGTGATAACTGTAGTTTAGATTATTTCACTTTTGAGTTCAATTAATTTATAAACAGCTAAATGACAATAAGAATAATTAGTAACGTTAATAATTGCTCATTTTTTTAAATTTCACTAATAATACTATTACAAATGATTCATTTTAGCTTGTTTAAACATTAATTTAGATGCTAAAATATACATGTACGAAAAGTATGACTGAGGACAATACCATTGAGGATCATTTGTTTGGATCCTGCTTGGAATCGTTAGCATTAAACGCTGAGAACAGGTCATTTACACAAAAATCAATCAAACACAGAACCTCTCCCCTTTCAATAACATCAAACTTCAATCCTTCTTTGGACTCATTAGATGAGTCATTCTTACACTCATACCCAAAATTATTTCAAACTGAAGGATGTGATCCATTCAGCAAATCGTCATTATCATGCAAAACGTTTTATGAAAATTGGTTACGCTACTTTTATATTTTAGTTCAACAGAATAATTTACATAACAGTATAGATTCAATTGAAGAACTTCGGAAACAACTTTACATTTATAATAATCACTGTCAAACATCTGTGACAATTAGTAACTCAAATAAAAAACTTGAGGCTGGTAACAATACAACTAGTTTATCAAATACACACTTTCCAGCAAATACGAAAAGTGATGTGTTAACAGATGAAAGTAAGAAGTCTAGATTGCTATTTTGGTCATTTTATTAAAATACTAACTTGTCTGTTGTAGTAAATACAATATTTTTCGGTTAGTTTACAATTGGTCATATGATAGAATAGTTCGAATCAAAGTGTTTGTTTTACAGTGTAAGACATACTGCTGTAATATATATATATATATATATATATATATATATATATATATATATATATATATCATGCAACGAAGAGAAAATATGATATACCTTGAAAAAACCGTGATACAGAACTGATAAATCCACAGCTGTATCACCACAATTACTTTCGTGAACTGATAGGTTCATGCAATATTTTTAAACATTAATAAGTACTGCTTTTATCTTCCATAATAAATAGAATTGCCTGAGAGAAGAAAATGTGTGGAAATAATTTCATCTGACAACAAGAATAAAAAGCAACCATTTGGTCCTGTTTTCTGTGAACAATGTGGAAAGAGAAAGGTTAATAATCACACTCTTGGTAGATAGATAGAGTAATATAGGTTTCTTATGAACTTTACTGAATATTTTTTCGAAATGGATAATTCAGCTTAAATGTTTACCACTTAAAAGCACAATCAACTTTAAATGTTCACAGAACTGTTCTTCACTGAAATCCAAATTTCGATAAGGATTAACTATTGGTTTAAACCCAACTTACATATGGGTTCTAAAATGAAATGTCCTGACCTTGAGGTAACTTCAGTGATCCTATGATGTACGCAGTAATGTTACTAGCAATACATAGTTCATTGAAAATTTTCTCAAAAAATTGTCTGTAACTTGCCGTCATTACATTTACTAATAGAACATTAGTTGTCAAAATAAATTTCCTCAATTCAACTTATTTTATTTTTATAAAAACAGAAATTCAGTTGGCTGAAAAATATTTTATGTCAATTATTTCAAATAGTAATATCGTAAATTTACAAAATTTAGTTACTCAATGATATATCATAGCAAGAGGGTTATGAATCGGTTTTTTAAACCTCATGATTCATTTCAAACAACAGGATTTTGTTTTTGAAAGTATTATTTATGTGGTTACTTTTCACCGATTAAGTTCATTAGACAAAAGTTGACATCACTCATTTCTCTTGTTTGAATTGCATTTATCTTTTGCAGTTAGTGGCGATCTGACTTCAAAAGATCACTATCAGTGTGAACAAATTTCCAACCAACAACAAACTATCTCATCACATATAGAGAACAGCTTACTAGTTAATGATCAAACAGTAGCATACGATTCAGATAGTGAATATGAATCACTGTCATCAAATTTATGTCAAGAATTGATCGATTCAAAGACTGATTCAAATGAACAAACAGATAACGCCTCTTTACACATTTCATCAAAATCACAAAGATTAAAAACAATAATACAAGATAAGGAAGATAGCATTTCACTCAGTGATGATTTAGCAGAAATATATGAATTTGCACATTTGTTTAAATTACGTAGACTCAGTTTGGGTTTGACACAAACACAGGTTGGAGCTTCTCTGAATGCAAAAGAGGGACCTGCATATAGTCAAAGTGCAATCTGTCGGCAAGTTCATACTTTCTATTTTTGTTTCTCATAATAAATTAAAAAAAAAACCCGCTTAAAAACATGATTCTCAGCTGCTATTAAAGTACAGTCTTCAATCCTTATAAACTTTATGTCCCTTCACAAATCAGGATTGCATACAGGACTGATGAGCTTTCAGAAAGTTAAACTTAGAACAGGCAACATGTGGTTATTATCAATTTACGGACTTGGGCGCATTAATAATGTTACCAAAGATGAATATTAGAACTTGATTACTAGTACATATATCCCAGTAAATATAACTTTCTTAACTTGTCATTATTTCATGAAACCTCATATAAGATTATATAAATATGAACCAACAGCAGAATTTGGTAGGTGAAGTTCATTTTTGGGAAACATAGAATGTAGCTAAAAACTTTAGAGATTAAATCAGACGTAATCATGTTGATCAAATGACAAACAGAAGAGAATCAATCCATCAGGAGATTAACTAGGTTGGTAAAGCAGAGAAAAGTAAATAACGAAATAACTTAAATACAAAATTAAGCAGATACACCCTCTCCAACATTCTGACACTTTTTCATGAATAATACTTTAGTTTCTGAAACTCAAATACTCCCACTATCAAAAATGATTTTAGGAATTCAGGCAAACAGTAATTTTGCCAAGGTTTGATCAACCCATTCTGCAACGGCAGATAACTTTACTAAGACATGCAAAGTAATGTCTTCCTGTCCAAATATTTTGAAGCTAACCTGATTGTAACCAAATCTTAAAATCCTTTGGTTTGTATATTTGTGAGGTTATAAATATACACCACTTTACAGTCTTAATTTGAGGCATATATTATGACTGTCTTTCAAATGTATTCTATCTTACTGTAAATTTTTGACTCTGTTTAATCATCATATAAACGAGCGCTAAAAACTAAAATCTACTTTCTCATGATCTGTTTCAGATTTGAGAAACTTGATGTTACTTTAAAATCTGCAAAACGAATGAAACCTGTGTTAGAACGCTGGTTATCTGAAACCAAGGCATTGCATCACAATGGAGCAAACGATCCGTTTGGAACTCAACTTGTACATCGACCACCTAGAAAACGTAAACGTAGAACGTGTTTCAGTGCAAAAGCACTAAAGTGTTTATTACACCAACTTGAAAGGAATCCTTACCCAACAAGTGAATATATAATTACTTAGAAATAAAAGTTTCTTTAATTTCCAATTGTAAACTTTATAATGATTTATAGTATTGATAGAAAATAATACTTACAGTATATGTCCATTTCGTTGTGACCGAATTATGTCAATCAGGTTCGAAGTTCAATCAGTTAACCAAATTACTTGAAACTGGTGTATTTTATTTGATAGTGAATACTTCAAGCCCATTAGGTTTAAGTACTGTACTTTGGTTTTATACTTGCTGAACTTCTCAGCATCACGTAGCCGTGAACATTACGTAAACGATATTTCATGACTAATTTTGGAATTGAAACTTATAGCAGTCATATAATATGCTAGATTCTGTCTAGACACTGCATTAAACGCAACTGTAACTGTAGCATTGAGTGACTTGGATTCGGTTCTTAAAAAGGATCATGGGTCTGTTCGACATCATTTTACTGCTAAGCCACAACGAGAACGAAGTCTACATGAATTGCTTATACCGGTTTACCTAGAGCCATAAGATATGAAGGATCAGGTCCATAACTGCGTAGAAGGTATAGCATACATTTTTGCAGTAATTTACATGAATCTTTGTTTTAAATTAGTATGTCGATATAATGGAGATAATATCAGAGTATTTACTGATAATCAGTTTAATTATTGTAGATAAGAATTAGTCATTAACGAGAAACTTGCTAATCAACTCTCTATTCTCATTCGAATATTTCTACTATAATTCACTTCTGGATTATCAAAATAAAGTCACTAATATCTTATGTGCTTGATAAAGTCAGTAGAATATATTTACCATGTGTATGCGACTCTGATAAGTAACATTGGCTACTGTGAAGACCGTTTTTAACTTGAAGCTTTTTAAGAGATATTTTCCTGCTTGCCTAAAATTAACTCGTGTTAGTTCCTTTAAAAACCATTAGATTAATTCACACAATATTAAAATCATAATTTTGTAACAATTAAAAATGTTTTAGCTTCATTACTAGAAGTACTGTCCAATTTTTTTCAGATCAACTGATTATTCAAAGATCTTCTCTCACGTACACTGAATTGATATAATATCCCTAGTTCTTGTTTATGGTGTATATGATAATTTAATGTGCTTTGTTAATGCCATCAGCTTCATGATCCGCATTTTAAAACAATTTAGCCTGTTATTTTAATAAGCTTTCAGCAGAAAGTACAATTTGAACAATATGCCCAGATAGATTACTGACAAACACTTCTATTAGTTTGATTTTCAGATTAAACTTATTCAATTCAAACACTGATAGAAATATTATTCCGTAAACATTAGTAGTGAAATTTCTATACCAATAGGAATTCACTGAATATATTCGTCTACTATTTGTTTGATTACGGTGTGTAAAGTGACCATACTAACTATACATAGTAAAACTTCACAGTTAGACATTTAACAGAGAGTATCTGCTAGGCAAATCAGTGTTTTCATGTATTTTAAAAGTAAGAATTATTTACTTTACATTGTAGTTAGTGGATGAAATTTATCTACCGAGTTTTTATAAAACACTATCAGTTAGGTGTGTACTTGGTTTGAAACGCAAATAGAGTTTGTAATGGTTTTTGACATATCGCAGAAATAATATGGAAAAAAAAACTGATTGCCAACTATACGGGATATGTATACTGGAAACATATGCATCTGCGAGATCGGAAAGCATCGAAGTCAGAAGAAGAATAAAGCAAAGCCTTAATAAAACTCATCGAGTTTATAAATACAAAGCAAACTAAGCGTATATACTACTGATTAAATGAGACTAAAACATGATACTGACAGAATATCATTTTATGGCTCATAGAATAGAAGTTACAGTATTCCCCGTCCATTCTGTTTGATCTCGGAATTTATTTTCAGACTTTAGTTGATTATTGTGTTCTAAATGAAACCATGACTTTTTCACAACTCCCATTTATATTTCGGCTACTGGAAGATGACACATGATGTTCTTATTTCTTGAAATATCATTGGGTGATGGATGGATTTATCGTTGAACTATATTATTTGCTGGTACCTTTTAAAAAGCGTTTTCATACTTTTAAATGTGATATTTTTTTAAAATAAAATATTTATTTAAACAACACAAGATTAATTACAATTTGTCCTTGTTCACTATGCATCTATCTACTTACCTGTTATATTGTATTTTAATTTGAGTTTTAGAGGCCGAAATGACCGAATTAGCCAAAGCTCTAACTTATGACAGAGAAGTGATTCGTGTCTGGTTTTGTAATAGACGCCAAGCAATTAAAAGCACTGAAAAGCAAACAACATCTGTTCACCTCTAATTCATCGTGCAAAAACAAATAAACAAACATAACTTTCCACTTTCAAAACGTAAAACAGATTTTCTTTTTTGTATGAATGTGACATTCTCTTTATAACTATGATTTATATTCACATCGTTGATCAATTGATCTTGCTTTTCTTTTCTTCATCATTTCTATTTTAGAAACTTTTTTTTATGTAAAAACTAAACAAACACTAATGTCTTGCTAAATGATCTATTTAGAACAATAGTATTCATAATCATAAAATAGAAAACAATTTCAGTAATTGGTGATGTGACCAATAGTATTTTATTTGATAAATGTAATAGGAATACTTTCAGAAGTAGTCACAAACGAACCACGGATTGTCAGAGGTTATAAACCATATTTACGCTTAATACATTGTATCGAAATTTATAAGGCTGATTATTATATAGAAAGCATTTATTATTTAATCTAAACCAATTAGTTAGTTGAATTCAGAAAATGTTCTGTTAATTTAGTAGACTATGTAATAGATTAGTCAGTGAACTTGTCTTTAGTACCTATCATATCTATTACCTTTGTTCAGAGTATCAGGAGTGCTATCCGAAATGACTTTCAACACTGTCTAGCAATTCATGACTTAGTTGTTCTCTACGAGGAAGATATATGTCAGCTATAGTAAGATTAGCATACAATTTGAGAACAGTGTCATCAGTTTCGGTAAAACCGAGATTGAACAGTGTCGTAAGACTATGTGGAATCAAATTATCGACACGATTCAGACGCAGTACAAACACTGAGGTTAAAATATATCAACGAATCAGTACTTCAGTCAGGAGGATGGAGGAATCTCATAAAATAGGCGATAATCGTTAAAGTATGGAGTCAACTTATTTTTAAAATCACTTGTAAGTTACCGCTTATTAAAAAGAGGCTGTCGAAAACACTTTATTTTCTGTAGATAATGGCTAGAATGAAATCTTCAATTCATTTTACATAGGGCACAAAAGAAAGTTTCATAGACTGAATTTATACTAAACTTTGAAGTTGCGAAGATTGCCGGTAGTCTGAAGTTTCTCGTTCGTAGGGGATATAGAATGGTAGTCAACTCCAAACTTTCTTGCTGGAAACTGAAAGCAGTTGTAACTAATTCGTACACTGCATAAGTGATTTAAAACATATCTGACACCCATCTATGCAGCTAAGTGCGTCTTCGTGCACATTGACAATGAAGTTGGACATAACTACAAAACTACCTTTATAACTGAGTCAAAATGATCTAGACGTTATAAGAATCATGACTAGGAAACGATGGGTTTTTGTTGTTCGGTTTGATCTTAAGTTTGGAAACATCTGGAAATGCGAAAGAATTCGGATAAAAATTATTTTGATACAAATTTCTCAACAAAGTATATTCTGAAGTAGGATACAGTGCAGAGGCTATGATTTACTATTTGGAAAACAGCTCATATTATTTGGGAATGAACATAGAAGACTACTTATCTTGGACCGCCGACGATCCTTTGCTCACCTTGAGTTATAAGACTTCAAAAGTTAGATTATTTCTCACTATCAAATTGTACATTATTCT